GGCAGACAAAAAAAAAAAAAAAAATACTCCTCTTGCATCACAACTCTCTCCCATTCTTGGTGATCCCAGACCAATCCAGCCTTCCCACAGAACTTCACACTTGACTCTTCTAGATCCATTTTTCACCTTTCTCTCTACCAGTATGTCTCCAACTCTTCTCCCAGCCATCCTCTTTGCTCCCCCTTTCTGTCACATTTGGTCATGATTGTTGGTTCTTCCATGCTGAATTACCCCAACCCTTCCCACCCAAACGTTGGAAACTCCTGGCCTCAAGAATTCTGAATTATGACCCACTTTCTGATGAGTATCTTTATGATTGCTTGCTTGCTTGACTTTTAGTCTCTCCTCATGAGACAGAAAATCTGTTGCTGGTCAGATGGATACAGCTCTGTGATCTTGTTTGGTTTCTTAGCTTAGCTTAAAGCTCTCCATTTTTTGATGGCTCTTTTGTTCATTGCTATTTCTATCTTTTGCATCTTTAGAAGATTATAACCCTTTGTTCCTTGTTCTTCCGTTTGTGTTGCTTTCTCCGTTTCTTTTGGACTACTGTGATCTGGATTTAGGACTCTCTAAAAGTTTTGCTTTTTCAACCGATAGTGGTTAGTAGCTTACAGGCCTAACATTGGGGTACCCAGTCCTTGTGATCAGTGTCTAGGTGTTCACAACTTGAGGAAACCCTTTTTATGCTTGGACGCTGCACCATTCTCCATCCAGTCTCCACTTGAATGTTGAACTAAGATTTATAACTCTGTTTGAATTTTAACAAATTTATACCCCAAGTATTCCATCCCGCTGAAAGCAATTTTTACTTGTTCTTCCATATTTCTTTTAATTCTTCATTAAAACTGTCCATAAGGTGCACCTTTAGAATATACCTGTGCTTCTCTGTTTCCTCTTTCTTCTAATATGCAATTGCTTAAATTATCACTCTAGGTGGGAGGTGAAAGTGTCCTATGCCTTCTTTGGGTCAACATGTTTTCCTCATCTAAAAAAAGAATAACTTTTCTTGTGCATGTTCAAAATTAATCTTAGCCACTATTTCACTTAAATAGATCACAGCTATTACTATATTATAATCAAATATAACAGAGGGGTAGGATGGGGGCTGTAAATCAAGTGTACCATATTAGTACATGTATGATAGGATCTGCACCGTTGGGGGAATGGATTCAGGACAGGCAATTGTAGTTTACTTACAGACCCCTTTGAAGCTCAGTTGGGTTCACTTCTCATAGCCTGAGGACTGGACAGGACTGAGACAGCCTGTCTTTTATCTGTTGACTATTTGTAACAGAGGAACATAAGTGCTACAAGGAGCTACACATAAGCTGCATAGAACATACAATCACAGTGGGTTTTTTCTATATTGTTATAATAAGGTGCCCATATTGTTGGTTCATATTGGTGTGTTGGTCTTCTTAAGTCATTTGACATTCCGCAAATGAATACAGCCCTTGCTGAAAGCTGGGTTTTTTGTCTAAGACTATAAGAGATGGGCAATGAGTGAGAAAACTGCTTAAAACAGTTCCTACATGGTGACAGTCCCACCCTCCTTGACTTTCCACTGCCATCTTCAAATCTCTTTCCTTATTGGATGGAAGCAACAAGAACTATCCTTTTTCCTTTCCTTTTTTGGCCTGGGAGCCCTCGTCATCAACTGCCTGCAAGCAACTGGGTTCAGCCAACATGTAAACCATGGCTTACAAATTCCATGGTTCGGTACACATCTACACACTAAGCCAGAAATCCTGGTTATAAACCCTGATGGCTGGATTCTCACATGCTGGGCTGGTTTCACAGAACACATGAAGCCAAAACCCATGGCTTGCAAACCACAATGACTGGGTTCATACACTATGCCAAGCTGTGAATCCTGGTTTATATATTGAAATGCCTGGATTGGTGCTGTATGTGAACCTGCAAAGGTGCACAGTGCTTGTGGCTGAGCGCAATAGGTAAACCCAGACATGCTGTGGAATAAAATGGCTCTCCCAGCCCCCTGGGGAAAAAAATAAATACGAAATAGGAATATCAGTAGGATACTAACTGAAAACAAAAGTAGATGCCTACAAGAAGCGATTTATCTGCTTTGGGACAAGCAGCCTTCGGGCACATTATGTGCTAAGAGACACACAGATCCATATATCATTGTAATATTGCGTGCACATGTCTATTCACAGCACACAACTGGCAAGAGTGCCATATATCTAATGATCCAGCCTTCCCCAAGGGCTGGCCAAATGCAATTATGGTTGTGTCCGAGGGTTATCAATCTCAGAATCCTAAATCAATACAAACTCTGCAAAACTAACACATC